AGTTCACAGTTATTTGCATTTCTGGATCTTCCTTTTAGAGTTTTAGGGTAAAAGAGTTCTTTCGGATCGCCACTATAACAGAAGATAATTTTACTGGCTCTTGTATGTTTTTACAAACGTGTTTCCATGTTGAATAACATACTATCGGTGTCTAAAAAAGGAAGGCTACCTTTGTACAGAAAATTGTCTGGTAGAACGGTATCAGAATCATTTATATTTTACTTAACCTTTTCACTTACCATTAACCCTTTATTACCCTAATTATGAAACACGATGGATAATGTTCTATTTGAATTTATTATTATAATAGTCCTATACTGTACAAATATGTTTGTGTGAAATATGTTTTGGTAAGTTATAAATGGGTGCGGTGACTAGAAAAAACACTGTTCACATGAAGAATCAACAAAAATAATTCCATGGTTTATTTAGATTGTTATCTGGAAGTAAAAGTATTCAACCAGGGAATTGAAACATTTTTTTTACCATGTGTATTAAGCAAAGAAGATATAATTGTTATCTGTAAGTTGCAGCCCCCCCCCCTCTCAGTGGCACAGCGGTACGTTCGCGAATTTACAACGCTAGAAACCGGGTTTCGATACCCGTGGGGGGCAGAGCACAGAGAACCCATTGTGTAGTTTTGTGCTTAACTACAAACAAACTGCAAGTTACAATGTGCGCTAGAGGCTTAACAGTAAATACATTGGCCTATTACTTCTTCCTTATGTTAATCATTCCTTTATCAAGTGCTCTTGGGGAGAATAAAATATTTTGACGATCAGCAAGTGAAATGTACAAGTTGTAAAAGGCTTAATTTGAGCTTTACATTTTTACCAATAGTCCACCCTTTTAGAATGATAATAATCCACTTAAAATTAGTAGTTGGTTTTATAATTTTTACATTACAGTCCTATTTCTCTCTTATATATCTTTTAACGGTGACTAATTATCATTCGAAACGAGAAAATTGTAACTTTTTGTGGAGTTTGTAGATAATCAATGCACGGATCAAGGCATTTAGGGGCATTCTAATAGCATTTCTGGAATGTGACGGAAGATCTGAAGTCATGTGTGTTTAGAAATGTAATGTTACACATCGCACAAGTAGTGGTCAGCCTAAAGTAGGA